CTACTACTACTACGACCACCACCACCTCCTACTACGAAACTACGTGTGCTGCTGCGACCTGCTCCTGGAAACACTGGCAAGTCGCCTCCATGCAGGCCAGTCGCCAGGCTCCGGCGCCAGGACACTCCTGTGGATAGCGTTCCCCTTAAGGGTTCAAGAAGGGTTTAGGGTTTAGGGCTTAGGGTTTAGGGTTTAGGGTTTAGGGTTTAGGGACAAAAGGGCGAAGGGTACAAAAGGGTTCAGGGTTCAGCATTGAAGGGAAATCTGGCGCAAATCTGGGTTTAAGGAGCGTAGGCTGGGACTTACAGATTCCGACTCGGTTTCTGTTTGGGAGTACTGGGTGTCTTCCTGAGCTGTTGCGCAGGGTTTTCCCGCATTGTGATTTGAGGGAAGTGCCAGTTTTTGAATTCAGCTGACAATGCACGGGGATAGTGTTTGCAGGCTCTCTCTGCCTAGGTTGGGCACCACTTCAAATTTCCATACCCTGAAGAACCCTAAACCCTTACACCCCAAACCCGAAACTCTACATCCCTGAGCCCTCAACCCTCAAACCCCCGGACTGCGTGACTGGCCCCGCTTTTCCCACGGGACATCGGAGAGGTGAGCACTTCAATTCAGATTTGAGAGTGTGCTCTCAGGCATCCAACATCAAGACTTCATCTTGCCATAATTTCTGATAAGCCCTGCCCGCCAGTGCTAAGACAGGAGAAAACCAGTAGTGTCCACAGCTCCGACACATATCTGCAAACAACGTGAGAACACCCCTAAGCTCTAAACCCTAAACCCTAAACCACGAACCACGTGCGCCGCCACCACTGTCTAGAGCATCTGAGGGAATCTTCATCCCTATGAGGTGAGACGCAACCTTGGCAGATCTCCGCTGCCTCAGCTGCTTACGAGACTCGAAGAAATTGCAAGATGCACGTTACTGCATCGCTATGATTCTCGGAGGTCGGGAAAACCCTAGGTCAGACGGATGATCACTGGGAGAGCACGGATGGTATCGGCAGCCCTGTTGCTCACATCTTGCTTCCCATGCCGATAAACCCAAGTCCACGGGACCCCTCAAGGCTGCTTCAGATAATATCCGGCATCCGACCATGTCGCAGGAGCAAAATTTAGACGAGCACATGTTGAGGATGTTGCTGCAAACTAGATCAAAGTGTCCGCTCGTCCTACGTAGTGAAACGGGAAGCAACTGACCCCACGCAGTCCTCGCTCGAGCTCGTCACTGACTACAGGCGCAAAACTCGAAAGCACCTCTTGCGACTCGCCAGTAGGCGAATCGCTGAGATGTTTGTTGAAAAGGGACACCGCAGCTATAAAACGCTAGCAGCGAGCATCAAAGAGATTGCAGCAAAATGCATGTTTCTGCAGTTACTGTATGGCTATGCTTCTCGGAGGTCGACAAATCCCCCAAGTCAAAATGATGCTCATTGGAAAGACACGGATGTTCTCGGCAGCCCTGTTGCTCGCATCTCGTTTCTCCCATGCCGATAAACCAACACTAAACCAAAGTTCACAGGACTCATACGGCTGCCGCGGATAACATCCGGCTTCCGAGAATTTTGCAACGAGCATGTGTCCAGGATGTCTCTGCAAGCTACACTTGAACGCACACGGTCTTCATTGGAGCTAGTCAGGCGCAAGCTCAAAAGCATCGGCTGCTTCTTGTTCTTCCGGCACCTCTTGCGACTCGTGAAGACACGGATGTTATCGGCAGCTCTGTTGCTCGCATCTCGTTTCCCATGCCCATAAGCCCCAGTCCACCGGACTCACAAGGCTGCTGCGGATAATATCCGGCATCCGAGCATATCGCAACGAGCGTGTGCCGAGGATGTTTTGCAAGCTACACCAGTACGTGAGCTAAGCAACAGACCCCATGCACTAGTCATTCGAGCTCTTCACTGAGTACGGGCGCAAACTCAAAAGCCTCTGCTTCTTCTTGTGACACCTCTCGCGACTGATCGGGCGACTCGCTCACGTGTTTGTTGAACCGGCGCAAATCGCACTGTCGGCTGGACAACACCTCTGGGCAGTCGCACGGATACTACAATATACTATACTGTGCTATAATATACTATAAAACATTACATAGTATAATATAGCAACGTATATAGCATTATATGTTCTAGAAGTCTACAAGAAGCACCGAATCGAGATTGCCGAGATGCTTCATGGTGTGTCGGTGGATGAGGTAATTTTGCACCGTCTGTTGGCGGATCCGATGATGGACCGTCCTGGTCGTCTTCCTCCAAGAGAAGATCCAGATCGTCAGCAGCCTTGATTGCCGACGAAACCGGAAAGTCAAGCACAATACTGGCACTAGTCGCTCTCTCGCGCTTCTTTTCGTCATTCTCGGAGTCCGCGATGATGGTCGAGGCACAGTCGGCTGCCTCTCGATCAACTCGCTCTCCCTGATTTTTCCCTGCTTCCGAGGAGTTGGATACCACAAGACCCGGGAGCATGTCCGTTGCGTTCGGAAGCACCCCCGTCACTTCTGCTACTGCGTCCGCAGCGGCGCCTTGCACGAAGTCAAAGGCCTCGGCAAGGGTATGGCCGACGTCGCATTCGCTCTCCGCCCGCAGTGGCACTTTTGACACTGCCTCGGATGGCTGAGAGCTCCGAAAAGCCTTGGACACCATGTGCCGGACCCGGGGCACACGCATGGACGGCACCCTCCCCGTCACCGCAGTCAGCATGCGACCAGCTCTGCTCAGCAAGGAGGCTTTGGATGCAGCCTTCGGCGAAGCATCCTGGCACATCTCCGGCGCATCGCTTTCGCAAAACTCGTCCACACTGCAATCTCCTGGTGCATCCAGATAGCCATAGTGCACCAAGGCCTCTCTTCAACAACTCGGCCCAAAACAGCTCAAACTGTTTAGGATAGACACCTGATATATCAGGCCAAGAAGCTTAAAGCTTCAAACTTTGTAGGGTAGACACCTGATATATCAGGCCAAGAAGCTTAAAGCTTCAAACTTTGTAGGATAGACACCTGATATATAAGGCCAAAAAGTGTAAAGCACTCCCACGGGCTATCTAAGAGGCAGCATGTGCGATCCGGACTGCACGAGACCTTCCGCCCTTCGTCACAACCTGGGCTCTTCTCAAAGGGTTGAAGTTTAAGCCACCACAATTTAAAGAAAAACACGCACTTACTATAGATCCCACATACTTACTATAGATCGCTTCTGTGGCAGGTTAAACTAAGTCCCTTAACCCTAAACCCGAAAATCTATAGGTGCCCCTTCACGGTTTCTTTATCATGGTAACTTGAATGTAAAACCTAAACCCCAAACCCTAAACCCTAAATCCTAAAACCCTAAACCCTAAAACCCTAAAACCCTAAACCCCTAAACCCCAAAACCCTAAAAACCCTAAACTCCTAAACCCTAAACCCTAAACCCTAAACTCCTAAAACCCTAAACTCCTAAACCCTAAACCCTAAACCCAGCAACGGGCTCCAGCTCCGTCAGCTCTTTGAAACAAACCATGGCGCTGGGCCGATCCTCTGGGCTCTTCTGTCTGGTGCTTAGTTAGGAATGGGGGAATGGGTTATGGGGCCTATAAGGGGCCTTAAGGGACTATCATAGGGATCCATTCCCCCATTCCCTACTAAGCACCAGACAGTCTTCTTAAGGATCTGAACTTAGGGCTTCGGGTTTTAGGGCGTAGGGTTTAGGGTTTTAGGGTTTAGGGTTTAGGGTTTAGGGTTTAGGGTTTAGGAGTTTAGGGCTTTTAGGGTTTTGGGGTTTAGGGTTTTAGGGTTTAGGGTTTAGGGCTTTAGGGTTTTAGGGTTTTAGGGTTTTAGGGTTTTAAGGCTTTAGGGTTTAGGGTTTAGGGCTTTAGGGTTTTAGGGGGTTTTAGGGTTGTTTGGGGTTTAGGGTTTTTTTGGGTTTTAGGGTTTTAGGGTTTAGGGTTTTTTGGGG